TTTCCCTTAGCCTATGAAAAGCACCCTTTGAAAGAAAAGCAAGCACATCTTCAGGACTGAAAGCTCACCTCTCCCAGCGACAAGCAACCCCTCTCCCTAACACCCCTTCCCACAGCAGACATACTCCTGGCTTGGGGACTCCATCCCTCTAACGCAAACCTGAACGTCAATCTACAAAGAGGTCTAAAGAGATAGATAGCAGCGTAGGCACGGGGCTTGGAAAAGGTCCACGGCTCTCCTCGGCACCGGGCAGAATGGAATTCAGAGGTCCATGCAACGCTGCACAGGGGCTCTCGTGTCGTGCTGGGAGCACAACTGCACAGGAGCTGTGAAATATTGTCTTTTGTTCATTAAAGCCATGCATCGAGGTGCCAGTCCATCCAAGGCTCTCTTGCCTTCCCCTTTCCAAGCCCCTGCTGAGTATAAGACAAGCCGATCCCGGCATGCAAAGGATACAGGCATGCAGGCTCTAGTCTGCTGCTTCTGTTAGTAAGTGCATCTTGTTAGTGGATTTATGAGACACACTTAAACCTATAAAAAATAAATAATCCTAATTCTTCATCAGGCTGGCCTAAGTAACTTTCAGCCCAACTGGATAAACCACTTCCCACCAGCCCTCAAAAACAGTTCAAAGTTACATTTCATGTCAAGTCTTGGAAGCAGAACATGAACGACTCCTACCCAAAGGAATATATGTAAACATAATAACAAGCCTGGTGTGGCAGCAGCTCCTACACAAGGTTTGTACAAATTTTAACAACGGGTAGGAAGTTAAACAACTGAATGAAAAAGAAGCTCTCTGAATGGAAAACGAAGCTCTTTCAGCAAGTCAGAAGGTGCTCATCTGCAGGCAAACTGCTCTGTACACGCAATACGCTGAAAGCAGACCTGTTACCCAAATCTTTGCTACTCTGCCATACTGCTGGGAACTGACCTCAGCAACTCGTGTCTTAAGATTCTCCCAGGAGTTCACCTCCTGGTCTCCCAAAAGGCCCAACAAAAAGGGCCACGTGATGGTTTATGTGGCACTCTCAGTAGCAAGATGGCAAAGGACACCAGATCCTCCCCTCCCTTCCCCCTTCCTGACTCACAAACTATCTGAGATTTCACAGCTTTGCTTAGTCAGCTTAGTGTCAACACATTCACAGAATGAGAGATGGCTATAACGTCTTGGGATCTCACCCCAAGATTTCAGAGTTCAAAGTCCTTGGCATCTCCTGGTCACCGTGACTGCACACCCAGAGTCATCTTCAAGTTTTCATAAACCACGTAGCTGATGCTTACAGCTGGGATCACCTTCATAAAGTTCGGTGCCAGACCCCGGTAGAGACCAAACGCTCCCTCTGTCTTCAGAATGTGTTTAAACAGTCCCCTCATCGTCACTTCAGGAGCACCCTCCACTGAAGCTGCAATAGGGAAAGCCACAATAAATAATGCAGTCCATGTGGTGAAAACACTTTAAGGTAACACCTGTCTCAAAGAGCAGTCCTGATTCATGTGCTTCCTGTAGACGTTCACAGAGCAAAGGTGCTTCATGCAGGACAGCATCTACAATCTCAGCAAGCCATAGCTATGCTGCACATCACAGTCATTTTCTCAAACACTCTTAGCCCAAAACTCCTGATCTGAGTAAAACGGAACCTGTGTCCTGGAGGCACTTGGCCCCAGATGCTAAGGACAGCACAAAGTCCACTGTCCTCTTCCAGCATGGCAAATAGCCTACTGCTCAGCTGCACAGGCCAGTTCAGGCTGTTGCTGCAATGTTTGCACCACAGGACCTTTGCCCTGCTCAGAGACTATGACAGAAGTTCCCCCAGTTCCCAGAAGTTCTCACCTTGGGCCTGCATGCGTGTCCTCACAAGAGCCAGTGGGTAACTGGCAAGCTGTCCACAGGTACTGGAGATGGTGCCACAAGCCAGCAGAACGAAGACTCCAGGGTCAGCACTGTTGACAGCGTAGCGTTGCAACCAGGCATTTTTTAGTGTCTGGAAGGAACAAGCCAGAGAAAAGTCAGCAGTGAAGAGGCAATCAAAAGAATATCACTTTACGTAAAATATCTAGCATAAAGGTCCAGAAAGCTATGTGCAATTTCAGCCAGAAGTACCAAGCTTTTTACATCTTTCTGAGCTACTACTGCTGTAGTGTCTGGGGGAAAAGATCCTTAACTTGCTGCTGCAATTTTCTCATTAAAAAAAGAAACAAAGGACCACGCATGATGTTGCCTGGAAAAGGACATTATCTTTTAGGCTGCTTTGACTAAAAGTCCATCTGTGGCCCTTAAGGCTGATCAGGAAAGACTTGAAAAGTGACTCAAACTCCTGTAGTAACTGATGGGTCTGGCAGTGACAAACCTACAGAAGTAGCAAAACCCTACAAAAGCTTGAAGGCTCCGTACCTCATAGACTGCCAGGTCAATACCAGCATACGGAATGATTCCTAGCATGTTGGGGATGTAGCCTTTGTAGAAGGCAGCCATTCCTTCCTTTGAAAGGATGTTTTTGGCACAATCCAACATGCCTGAATATTGTCCTGTCTTCCTCAGAGCCATCCGTGTTTTCAGAACCTAGAAGACAAGAACCAATACCATGAAGGCCTACAGGAGATTCAAGAAGAGAAAACACGCAGACAATGCCACTCTTAACAACATGATGGTCAGGACTACAGCAAGTGCCATGCAAGCAGTATTACCCAATATCATCTCTGAGAACTCATTAATTAAGCTACCCACATTTTCCCATCTCAGCACCTTGCCATGACCCCTCACAAGCTGGACTGTCAGCCATCCGCCTCACCTCCATCGGGTAGATGCTGCTCTGCGCAATGGCCCCAGCCAGAGAACCAGCCAACAGCCGCTCATGAATCCTCAGCATCTCTTGGTCAGTACCAATGAACCGCTTGATCTGTAGAAGCCAAAACAGGCACTGAGGCTCAATGACTTATCCCAGCTGTCTTTTTCATTCAGCTTGTCCTTCTGCAGCCAGACTTCTCTGTGCCCTTTTACTCACCTGCTCATAGGCCATGAACTTAATGGCAGATTCCGGTGCAATCTTCAACACGTTGATGCCATTCCCTCGCCACAGTGACCTTGGTCCACCCTCTCGGATCATTTGAGTAAAACCGCCAACGATGCACATGTTGTTACTGCGGGAGGCATGAACCTGGGAGAGCGCGAGCGAGCTTGGATTAGTTCCAGTCCTGATTACGACAGTGCTACGTTCTTCCGTAATCCAGGGACAAAAGGGCACTTTTCTATTTACCCAGAGATTTGCCAAGGCTTTAATCCCTTTCAGATAATTTCTACAATAGTAAAGCAAGCTTCTTTTCTTTTTTGCGAAGTCTGGGGTTAACTAATGAGTCTAATCAATATCTCCCTCTGAAACAGGAGGAAAGGTTAAATAGGCAACTCCCATACCTAGCACAGGATCAGTTACCCAGGGTAAATTCCTCCTCTGGCTCAGGAGCAGGTGCAGTGACAAAGCAGGCTAAAATCAAGGCTTTATAGCTCCTTTCTAAAGCTGAAAGTACTTACACAGAGTACCAGCTCTGCCAGCTGACCACCACAACCACTTCAGCTCCTGTGGCCTCAGGGTCTCTCACGGGAGCACAAGACTTGAACCTGTTTCACCAAACCCAAGTTTTCTAGTGCTCTAAACCACAAAGCTCTCTAACTATGGACATGTCTACCTCCCCAAAGATTCTCTGTATTTTTTTCTAGTCAATGAAAAATAACTTTTTAACATGACTTTGATCATGCAAATAATCCAAAAAGCTTTCGAACATAGCAATATAAGAGCAATGAGATTAATCCTGGCCAGAATGCTGTACTGTGCTGATGAACATTATCATCTCCAAGGCATCCAAGAACATTAAATGAATCGGCCTGGGTATTCAAACAAACTGGAACTGCTCCATCATACCTGCATGAGCACTTTCAAGCGGTCCAAGGGAGCTGTACAGGTTCTGGACACGGCACCTGCACCACCACCTGCAACCAGATGTCGCCACCACATCCCGGTCTGCCTCTCTTCCACTGTGAACTCATCAGGGACGGTCAAATTCTCTCCTACATCAAAGATCTGCAAAAGCAGAAGGTGTTGAGAAATGTTGCATTAGCCAGTGATCTTGCTCTTTATCAGTGCAAAGTGTTGAAGTACTGGATACGCTTATTCCAAATCAGCAGCTTATCTATAACTATTAAATGCTGTGTCTGGTCACAGGAACTGCCACTACCAGAGCACATCACAAATGGAAACTTCTCATTTAGAGATTTCTGTTCAAGAACCTGGCAATTGCTGAACATTTTTCTGCATTAAAGTACTGTGGATTGTAGGAAGGAACAAAAATGACCAACTGCGGGCAGCTGCATGGCAAAAAAGCTGGACCTCTCTGGAACCTTCCAAGCTCGCAGCCAGTTTCATCTCGTTACGTGCTATTTACACACACTGAAATATCTCCAGGAAGGGCAGCTGCCTGTCAAATCAGTTTCTAGTCTTAACAGGTCCTGAACCAGCAAGGACTGGCCACTGGTACGAGCTCTCAGAGGTGCAAGCCAAATGAACACCATCTTCCTGCAGAATGTGCAGTTATCACCTGTGCCAGAGGCTTCAGAAGTGGTGCCAGTGATAGGTGGCAAGATAACAGGACAGGAAGCGATTTTGCTTCTAGGGCTACAGGGCAGCTACTGAACCATGAAGAGAAAGATAGGGACTGCCGATAGCAGCTCCTGGGAGTCAGAACTTTGACCGGGAAACTAGGAAAGGCCAAGATCTGTTGCAGAGGAACTGTTCCTTACCGTTGAGTGCTTCCAGTACAGGATGATTTCAGGAATGTTCTCCACTGGGTGCAGCAGGTGATAGTCTCGCCACTCATTCCAATCAATTGTCATAGTCCCATTTTTATCCATGCTAAAAAGATTTATCATGAGATGAGTACAGACTCCCACTGGATGACAAATTCCTCCTCCCCTTCCCTTTGATTATTCAGGCCTACACCAAAAAAAGCTTTGCAAAGCAACTACTAAAAGACTTCTAAAGAGACACAAGACAAAGCTAGGAAATCTCTTATTCACCAAACATTGCAGAGATAGAAGTGGGCTCCCTTTTTCCTCCCCTCTCTCTCCCCTTTAACTGGCCCACAGGAGTAGTTGTACCCCATCCTACCAAACTTAGGGACATAACTGACACTGAAGGGAAAATAATACTTACTAGGTGACAGGACCCCAGAAGTGTCCCGTCCTTATTCTGACACACAGGCAAACAGACAGAGGGAAGGTAGCAGAGGAAAGAAAGAGGAAAAAACAGCACAAATAAGTGGTTGTTAACATGTTAGTGCCGCATGCATAAAGCACTCAGCATTTCCAAAGAGCAACTACACAGACCCTCTCCAAAGCAGCAAGCTCAGGGCAGCAGGACAAGCAGACAGGGATGCAAATCAGCTCAGGTGCAAGCACTTCCCCACAGCAGGTCAGGAAGATTCCTGACAGTAACTCTCCATAATGCATTATCACCTTATAAGTGTCAATTCATATGGAAAAAAATGAAAGTGAAGAGGAATAGGCAAAAAGGGAGGAGCTGAAGTCTCTGGAAAGCATGTACAGGGTAGAAAGAGGAGATGGGTTCCACGTCCCTACGCTTCCTGCGAACCCCCTCAAGAGTAAACCTGAAGACCCAGCTGAATCCTCACCTCTTCAGTATTTTCTCAGCCTGCTGTTCAGAGATCTTGACTCCCAGGTCACGAAGAGACTGCACAATCTCCTGGGCATCAATACGGCCTGCAAAGATCAGCTAGTGAGCTCAAGGACATGTATTACAAGCTAATGGACACAGTGCTCTATTCATGAGCATGAGAAAGATGTTTACCATCATTCTTCTTATCCAGACTCTTGAAGACCAGTCTCAGCTTCTTTTCGTGGTCTTGAAGATAGTGAACAAATTCCTCAAAATCCAGCTGTCCATCCAGGTCCTTGTCTCCAGCCTTCACAATTTTCTGTTCAGAAACAACCAAAACCTGTCAGTTCCTTTGTTCTTGCAGACAGATCTACGCCTTCTTCCACCACTTTTAATGACCATTTCCTACACAACTTTGACTTTTCCTCCAGAAAGGAGCCAACAGAATTCTAATTCCTCAAAGAAATTCAAGCAAAGCAGTAGTGTAGAAAAGTCACCTGACTCCAAGCAACGGTCTCCCAAAGTTAGTTACGCAGATGAAATGCCTCATGCTTTTATCAGGGATATTCTGCTAGTATCATGAGTCTAATCTCAGTCCTGTATTGTGATCAACACCTTACACAGCCCATGTTGAGGTTCTTGAACTAAGTATGAGGCAATAGATTTGCATAAAAAGTGAATCACAAAACTTCAGGTAATAAAAAAGCCTGAACAGAAGGAATTTCGTGCCCACTACGATCCTTAGAGAAGTAAGTTCCCTCTGGCAATAACTAACTCCAACCAGAAAAAGCCTGTCCAGCTCTAATGGACACAGCCAAAGATAAAAACCCCTATGAACTGGTTCAGACACCCTGGAGCTATGTGCTTTAATTACACAAGTTTCCATGAGATGCATATAGAACAAGGAAAAGTTTCTTAGTAGGACAAAGCCAAAATCAAGATCAGACTCTGTGCCAGACATCTAGGACAAGGCAAATGACTCATTAACTCACTCCAGCATGGGGCAATAGCAGATGGACTGTCCTATCTAAGGGCACGTGGCTACTTGTTGACAGGAGAGGTGTTCTCCAGACTGCAAGAATGTGGCTCAGGGAGATCCTGTTCTCCTCCTTGTTCAGCCACTTGCCTTTGACAGCCTCTAAGACTTTTTCAACATGAACCAGTGAGCAACACTAAATGAGGCGTGATTCAGTCTACTGCATCACCTCAATCTTTGTTTTAATTCTTGAAGAGCAGGTGGGTTGTTAAGGAAGCTCTGAGCTGAGATCAAACACTAGGATAATCCTCTGCTCTCCAATATATTGTTCAATATTTAGGCTTCAAAGGTAATAGGCAAACCTAAACTTACTGTGATACTTCCTCAGTCTGCGAGCATCAGTCCCCTTCATAAGCCTTAAGCCTTTGTTTCAATGCCATTTTAAGTTGCCCTCTTGCCCCACCAAGTCCTGTCCCTTTAGCCCTAATGCCATGAGGATTATTCCTAATCGTTCTATGAACCTTACATAAGAAAGTGCCATCCCAGCTGCCTGACCTTTGAGGTGCGCCCAGTATTCTTAACCTGCAGTTTATCATATGACTGTTGCAAAGTTCAGACATGACCCCGCATTCAACTTGTAGGCTAAACATAGCCCAACACCCCTGGCAATGTCAGCAGATTGGCCTTGAACAGCTGAATCAGGGCCTCCCTCTGACTGGCAACCCCCAGCCAGTTGACAGGCACTAGTGATTTGGAGGCACTGTAAGAGATGTGACTGAGCAACTGCTCCCGCTCTCTCAGCGTGCCCCTAGCAACCACAGAGATGTGCAGTGAGCGATCAGAGACCACAGGTAATAAAAGCTGCCTTGCTCTGCCAGCCTTCCTCCTCCGTGATCACAAAGCAAAAATGCTGCAAACTGGTTGATCAGTAACCTGCAACACATGTGTGAAGGGTGAGAAAGCCAAGCACCCAGCATCTTCTGCTTCTATGGTCACTGTGCCTGCAGCTCACTTTGGGACCCCACTCATCTTAAAAGCCTGCTACATCCCCCATTTGTGTACCCGCACAACGCCCACCCAGCTTTGCTGTTCAATAACCAGCTGCCTGGGCTCTGTACAACCTGGTCACTGAAAATCACGCCAGTAGCAGCACGCTGAAAGCAAGGGCTGTGATCCAGATCGGACAGAGCGTGCCACAGATTTAGTGCATCTCCCTTTTGCAGCGAAGGGAAATGCTCTTGCACAACCTCCCCGGCTCAGCCCACTCACGGCTGCCAAGCGGCTCTCCGGCTCCTCGCACAAACCTGCTCACCTTCACCCGGGCGAGACCTGCATCAGCGTGAGCGGACATGAGATTACGCAGCTCCCATCAGAATGGGGGCTGGCAGGAGGTGTAAGAATGAGGAAAAGGAAGAGGATGTGAAACGTGGTATTTGAGCAGACCAGTTAAAGCAAAGGACTTCATAGTTTGAAAAAACCCTTTTTCTATTTAACTCACATCAAATCAACAGGTTTAAACAGTTTTAGAGGCACTGAGATCTCAGATTCAAGCCAAAAGAATCAAAGAAAAAAGCCCACTGCACACTGCTTCAGCAATCCCTGCCAAGGGGTAAGAGAAACGTGTCCACACTGTATCGAGTGACTACAACAAAGCCGCCATGAACTTCTCCCCCTCCAACCAGGGTGTTGGAGACCTCTCCTCCATAGCTCACTCACCCCATTCCTCCCTCGGGGCCATACCTGCTTCCACTGGCGGTAGGTGGAGAACTCCTCGGAAGGAATGAAGAGGCTGAGTCGAAAAATGGATTTGAGTTCAGCCGGCAGCCCCTTCGACTCAAAGTATTCGAACGTCGCCTGCGACTCCCCGAACACCGGCACATACAGACAGAGGCAGAGCATCTTTCTGAGCTGGAGACTCAGCTGCCCTGCTCAGACCGACTGGGAAGGGAAGTAAAATGGAATGATTCCCCTGAGCTAATTTCAGTACATAGTGGAAAGGAAATGCCAGAAAGTCTCATGACACATGCCTATGAGCAAAGCCGGCTCTGGTGGGATTGGCTACACAAGCCCTGCCCTTCTACTTAAAAGGGAAGCCTAAGCCTACAGTCCCACCCAGCTGCCAGCGGGACACCGGATCCGATCAGGAGGAGGAGGAGACATGTAAGCTGCCTCCCATTGCTCAACACCAGGCTCCCCGTAGGACCTTACATCACGGTCACCGCAAGTTAACTCTTACTGGTGTCTCTCTTAACCTAAGAGGCTTGGCCAACATCCAAGATGCTCACTTGCCATTTCTTACATCTGATCGGTCCCTTCTGATCCTGTGCTCGCCCCTCTGGGGATTTACACACACAGCAGAGCAGGGACCAGTCTTGATCATAACCTCTCCCACCATACAACACAGAGTACTCTCACCGTATTCCCCTTCCCAAAATTCTTCCTTTAAAATACAGTAAGAGCAAGATGCCACCCACTTGCTGCTTTCATATACATTTGGGCTATTCGGCTTAAACAAAAGCCTCACAATTCCACTTTTATAACGTTACTTTGCTATGCGAGAGTTGATGAGCTTTGGCTGGAGGTCCTCGTAAAGACACTTGTGCCAGCTAGGAACAGGCAACCCCTGCACACCAAGATCTCCCCTCCAGCACTCCAGTTACTAACAGAGGCGGCAATAACGCCTGTGGAGAAGGTTTGCCATTGTGCTGGACACCCAGAAAACCACCGAAATCAAGGACAGGCTTCAAAACAGACCCAGCTGCTTCAAAGCCTCCTAGCTAAGCATCCACACAGCAATTACAACAACTTACTCATTTCTCCTCCTCTCCCAGCTGCAATTAAACATTGCAGTCGGATATGCACTGTAATGAGAAGCAGCCTGGGCAGAACTACATTTTCCAGTTTCTACCCTTTCCAATGTAACCACTTTGTAAGCGAGTTCCTGAGCTTTCATCAGGAGGAAGCCAGGCTGAAGAGCGAGTGCGGCACATGCATCATTTAACGCAGATATAATTACAGGACACTGAGCATTCAGTGCAGTTTGATGTATGGGATAACACCTCGCTCCACAGCGAGAGTACCAAAGCAGCGCAGCAGGTAACAATATTGCTCAGCTCAGAAGTACTGATTGCTAATATGAATTTTAAAATAAAGTTGCAGCCTTGATATTCAAAGACAAGCTATCGTACAAGGCAGATGCAAAACCCCATAGCCGATAACCCAAGCACTATAACTCTGCCTGCACTTGGAGCAACACCGCACGTTTGCTAAACTGGTTTAAGCCAGTCCAGTTAACAGCTTTCCCCACCACTGCGGACACAGCAACATTTTCCTGTGTTTGCTCTGTTTAAACAGCCTGCCTGGCCAGTGCAAAGTCCAACAAGTGCTCCCCTCCTCAGATCCTAATGCACAAGAGGCCTTTACGTCTTCACCGTGGTATTTTGTCCTTTAGATTTAAAGAAAAGCCAGGGTTTGTAATGAGCTGTTTGTGGAGCTGCACGTCAATCACACAAACTGGGAGTATTTATTTAATCTGGAGCTTTATTTCAAGGGTTTTATTTATTTTTTGTAAAGCTTAATAGATCACGACTCGCAGCATTTCGGTACCCTTGGGAGTCGTGACCTACAACAGTTTCCTACGCCCTCCTCCCTCACCTCACCTACCATGGCACTGCTGCCGCGTTACCTAACCAGGCTTAACCTACTCCCGCTGACGTCTCTCCAGATCTTCTCAGGGCCTCCAGATCCTCTTAAAGATCAGCTGCAGCGGCTCACTGCGCTCACGCCAACAGCACACCCCGGCCTTCCCACCAAGGGGCATCTCACTGCAAGCAGCGCCCTAACGCTGCTCACCACCACCAAAAAGCAAACACCGTGAGCAGCTCCCCCCTGCCCAGCTCCTGGGAGTAAGCGAACAAATGTAGCTCAGCTTTGCCCCGCCAAGCCTTTGGATCCTCTGTAGTCCTTCCCACGAGTTGCCAAGCATCACTGTTATAGCTGCTTGGCAGCTCGGTTGCTATGCCAACATGATGCAGGTTTTCTTAGTAAACTCTGTCTGGAGTTGGCAGCCAGAGACAAAAGGCAAAATCTGCACATTTTAGGGAAAAAAGCCCTGCTACGTACGTCAGAGGAAAGGAGAAAGGTAATGAGGTTAAGAAAGCTGATTTTAAGCAGGGTATTAATTACAGCACAGTGAGCTAAGAAGGAGAGACAGATTACAAATGAAGTTTATACCAGCAATTCTGGTTATAATGACAAAGGGAATTTAAACTGCCATTAACAAGTATTTAGATTTCACCTAAAAGAATCCTGGTAAGTCTCGAAGCACTCAAAAGCAAGACAGCTCTCCAGAGCTGCAGGGACCGGCGCTGCTTGAACACTGCTCGTAGAGGGTCACCACACGCAGCCGGTCCCGCTGCCCCAGCCCCTGTGGCTGTATGGCTCCCCCCAGCAGCTCACCCAGGGCCTGACCAAACCAAGGACAGGGCACAGAGCCCCAAATAAAGTCAGCCCTTTCAAGTCACCCCTGATCCTTCCATCCACCAGTTCTGGCAATGAAGCCAGAGCTGGCCCTACATTTTTGGTCGATGTGAAGCCAGCCTAGCTGACAGCCTCCTCTGCTAAAGGGAGTCCTAGCCAGGTCTCTTTTCCTTCTACAGAAGGGACTTTTTTTTTTCTTGCCATCAGGGAAGCTGCAAACTCATTGTTGACTTTATTTATAGGTTTTGGTCCTTATTTAAATGCTGCATGAGTTACCAGTTTTAACACGCTGCCATTCCAACGCTAACCTTTCCAATCATGTGTACTCTTCCAGGCATCTGCTCCATCACCAGTTTACTACATCAGCTCCAGGAGGTACCTCCCAAAGGATGGGAGGATGCAGCCATACAAGGAGCAGGAAAGCATGCTGTTTAATTTTTAAATTTACTTTGCTAAAAAAAAAAGCCTCTAAAAATACCAAGTGCCAGTGAGCGTCACAGTCACATAACCAACATCCTCCTTCCAGCAAAACAGCTTTCTGGGCGAGTACACCGTGGGCCAGGGAGAGAACCCCTACTGCTCCAAGTTTTTACCAGGTTCTGCTGATTTGGTATTTAATTTCTGGAAACGAGCTTATAATTAATTGTGCGGTACAGAAAGTCCTCACACAGCACAAACAAAACATAAAGCGTATGAAGGAGGGGAGTTAATCATCTAAGAGACCCCAGCAGAGTCAAGAGCTGCAGCCAGCCAAGGGGAAGGCAGACAGCACTGCGAGGTATTGACAGAGGTGACCAGGAAAGGTGACCTGTTCCACTGACAACACAGATCCAAAGTTACAAGTCCAGATGGTGACATCAGGGGCAGACCATACTTCTCCTGTGTACACAGCCCGGGCCAGCGCATCGCATTTGCAGTCAGCATTTTCTCCTGCATTTGCAGAAACAGGTTCATGTTGAAATCGTTACCCTCAAGCAAAGGTCTGAGCAGAAACACGCCAACAACAACACAAAGACTGAAGAGCCCGGGCTAGGGAGGCCCTCAGGTTAAATTTATCAATGCATGCGAATTCCCTGGAGTAACCCAAGCATTGATCATGATATTTTGTGTGTTTTTAGCAGACCTGTAGTTACAGGTGCTTCCACCACGAAGTCTGAGTCAAGAGACTTCTCCCAAGGTCACAGACATTCAGCGGCAGAGAACAAAAGCCACGTGTCCCCCTCATTTTCTTTAAACGCCAAATCATACAGGTTGCTCGCAGTGGTTTATAATCCACCCCTAAGGCTGTACCAGACTTTTTGCAACACTTCTCCTTCAGACGGGTAATTAGAGCAGAGATATCTGATCAAGCACAAACAAGTCATTGCAGCTTACCAAGTTAGTGTCCACGGGCTGAGCCACGACGGCTGGGTGCAGTATTAGCTGGCCCGAATTGCAAGGTAAAACATATCTGCATAATCCTCAACAGAGGAGCTTTACGACGCGTTTTACTTTACAATCAGGGCAAGCTAAAATTACACAGTCACAACCTCTGAGCAGATGGGCAGTTACTTCCTAAGCTGCAGTAACTCCATTTACCACATTCTCATTCTCTAGGTATTTCTCCATTAGCCAATTTTAGGGTTCCGATGCAGCACAACTTGCCAGGGTCACACAGGAAAGATGAGATTGGTATCAGCTCTCCAAGCAGGCTTCATTTGCACGTGTGAACAGATGGACTCTCCATGACTGAGGGACTATTGTTCCGTGGGAGACACCAGGGATTTTCAGCCCCGCGCTTTCCAAGGTTTCCAACACAACCTCCTTCAGTTTGGAGCCTCTGTCCTTCCTCAACCTCTGTGCACAAAAGTCCTCTTCTCAAAATGTGCACGCTCCTCTTTTGGAGGAGGACGAGCAGTGCTCACTGCTGCCGAGAGGGATGAAGGCAAAAGTCCCTGCAGATTTTTCAGCCCGATTCAAGCAGGGAGTGGCTTCTGCTCCCCAGAATGTGAAGTCCCACCCTGCCCGTTTCCACTCAAAACTGTGGCAGAAAGGATACTAATCCCCTCCACAACCTGAACCTGTTCATCCCCCATTTTAGAGAGAAAGCTTACAGCAACAACCATGCCCAATTCCCTGTCAAATGAGCTGGATCCTGCAAGTCATGCATCCCTAGCCCTGCTGCAGCCCTTCAGCATCCTCCCAAACTCCCACCTCTCACAGGGGTTGCGCCCGACTCCTTCTCCCCTAATCCCAGGTCACACCCTTGGTCTTAAAGCACGTGAAGTCAGAGACAACTGCAGCATCCTCAGGAGAGACTGACAGCGCTCCCTCCATCAAAAATCAACCAGAATTGCAGGCAGCCAGCACCGTGCTAGGAGCCAGGCACTAAACTAAGCAGCTTTTGTTCGCCTCCCCCTAGACAAAGCCTCACCATTTATTCACCACCAATTGTGCGTACCCACCACCTCCCCGCTCTCCCACCCCCGGGAACTTCCCATCCTCACGCAGATTTCAGGCTCTCCCTTATGCCACCCGCTCCCCAGGGAATGGCTTTCCTCTCTTCCGGGCTGTGCCATTCAAACCATACAGCCAGTTACTCATTTGCTCTAAACACGATAGTTTTTGCCAGAGCCTTGCCAAATTACCAGAGACTGACTCGGGAACATTTTAGGATCTAATTGATGCTCTGCTGGTCCCCAGTGCAGGGGTGGGACTCGCCACCAATCTGCATTATCATTCCCTGCCCTCTCAGTCAGGCTTCTTACAAGTTGCCCAGGAACCTTCGAGACCCCTGTACTCCCCCTTGCCCCTACACAGCATTTTTTCCCCACTTGGATCACATCTGAAAGGTCAGATCACCTCTTTTCTTCACAGTCATTCCTCTGGGCCCCCACATTTCCCTTTAGCAAGCACACACATTGGACCCTGCTCCCTTCTCTTCCTCTCCCCCCTCCCCAAATACACGCACACTGCCCCCAGCTACTCACACACCCCACCTGCAACACCCCTGCTCCCAGCAGACCCCACACTCCGCTGTCATGTACACCAACCCCTCCTCAGGCCCCTGGATATCCCGTTACCTTTGGAAAATGCTCTGCGGGTCCAACCACCAGTAGGATAGTTGGTCTCCTTTCAGTGGGATCAGTCCCTCTGTCCTGTGGTTTCCCCAACATCTTTGGCCCTTTCTCCCCGAGGCCTGGAAGTGAGGTGGTGTTTCCGGCCTCATCCTCTTTTTCCTCTGAAGGACCTTGGCATACGGCCCTGGGAAGGAAGCTAGACAGAAAATGCCAAAGGGTCCGCAGCATCGCTGCTCCAGCGAGCGTCCCAGGCAGGGAAACCCTGCGCGCTCAGGAGCTGCCCGCTGCCAAGGATGATGTGACTGCACTACCAAGCACCCCCAAGATGGGAATCGGCACGGCAGCCAGCAGGAGGTTCGACC